CTGCGCTTGGGCTCCCAGAAGGGTTGGGTAGGCTGGGGGCCTTGCCAGGGCCTCGGGCCCATACCTCCTGTAGATGCGGCAGTTGAATAGGTCCCTGAGGGCACTGTCATCAAGTCGCCGTGGCAGAGCCACAAGCAGCTCCTGAGCCAACTCAATGGGCACAGCCAGTTCAGGCAGGATCTCTTCATTCAGGACATGCTATCAGGAAGAAGGTCTCAGTCAGCAGCAGCCCTCGCTCAGAGGTAGGATTGGGGGAATCTATACCCACGTTCCTCTCCAAACCTCTCATAGCTGGCTCCTCCCACACAGCTCCTCTGAACATTCTGGACCCCTCTTTTCAGCAGCTCTGACCTCCAGTTCCCCTCAGAGCCTTGCGAATGCCTATGACCACCCAGCCCTGGAAGTAGTGTCTGCAGCCTCGGAGGCTCTACCTCCCCATCCATGTTGTCCTGTAGGAGCTGGACAACCTCCTGCCGATCAGAGCTCTCCAGCTTCCTGACGAAAAAGAGGAGCTCCCACCATTCCGCCTGGGTCAGGTGTTCACTCTCTTCAGCGTCTTCTTCCTCAGGCAGCACATAAGGCACCGCATAGAGCTCCATCATGGGCTTCCAGTGCCAGGAAGGCAGGGCTGGGAAACAACACACAGTCCTGCCACTGCCTACTGGGCCAGATGACTGCCCCTCCCCATCCCAGCTGACCCCTGCTTGCTCCCAGCACTCACCTCCACCCAGAGCTCCACTGACCACTGCTCCATGGAACTCATCAGCCTCAACCACATCCTCAATGTCTTCTTCAAAGCCCAGGATTTCCAGCATGTGCCAGTGTACCCAGTAGGTGCGGCCCGTCGACTCCCACAACACCTGACAGTCAGGGCAAAACAGGAGGGAAGTGGAAGAGAGGGCTCAGTGGTGACAGTTTATGCCCCAATGCTAAGGACAGCCTGGGGAGGGAGTGACCCCTCCCTAGCAGGTTTGGAAAGACCCCCCAAATGGCCAAACGCTGACCTATGGGAAACATGCACCCACACCAAAGGAGCCCTTTCTCTTCTAGGATGTATTCGGCTGGGCCTCTCAGCCTATCGTCGATGGCATAAGAGCCCACACTCCATCTGGCCTCAAGCACCCCATCACCCCAATCCTGATCTGTGCAGGGCTCTATTTTTTTTTTTAATTTTTTGTCAGCTCAGAGACTGAGTGCTGTCCTTGAGCTGTTTTTGCTCAAGGCTAGTGCCCTACCACTTTGAGCCACAGTTCCACTTCAGTTTTTGATTGGTTAATTGATGATAAAAGTCTCACAGGGACTTTTCTGCCCAGGCTGGCTTTGAACCACGATCCTCATATCTCAGCCTCCTGAGTAGCTAGGATAACAGGCCTGAGCCACCACTGCCCAGCCTTTGTAGGACTCTTAATTACACCACTTTCTTCCCGGGTCTGAGCCTCCTCTATGCCTCAATAGTCTCTGCTCTCCAACTGGTGCCTTTTTACCACCTGATTTTACTGAGAATTTGTTCCTTGGGTGGCCCACCAGAGTCCCGCTGTGTAGAAAGCTCAGGCGAAGCTTCATCAGAGCCCCAAGGCTTGTTCTCTCACCTGCACAGGGGGCACACCATTGTTGCTCTGCCGGAATTCACCCTCGTCTCCAGCACTGATTTCCTCATAATTCTCCAGCATCCGCACTCGCATCCCCGGCTGCAGCATGTCCCGCACATACAATGCGTAGGTATTGCTGCTTGCAAACTCAGTGGGAGGGCGAAACTGCCTCGACCGCCTGAAGAAGCGATGGGCCTGGAAGGGTGCGGCCCCTGGGCTAGCATCTTCAGCCCGAGGCCGGAAGATGGAATAGGGGGCCCGTGGTGAGCTTCCTGGTTTGCTTGAGGCCCAGTCCCAGCGCATGGCCTGTACCAGCTCCGAGATCAAGGTGCCCATGGCCATACTGAATTCCAGCTCCAGCCGACCCCTCTCCACACTCAGTTCTTCAGGAGCAGGGTTGTTCTGGGCTCCTGCCTCCCCTGTATTGTCATTCAGCTGATCCAGGAGGGAGGTGACATGCAAAAAGTGCTTCACCAGGGAGAAGAGCAGCCTTCCCGGGAGCTGTGAGATACAACCCATTTTGGTTTCAGCCCCTTTCCTCAGTGCTCTGTGTCGAGTACAAAGCCTGGCCCTTCACTCTTGTTCACAGTTTCCCCCAACCCATTCCCCACAAGATACCTGTGGCAGCTGAATGCCCTCGAAAGACATAGGATGTTCGGAGAGAGTGGCCTGTGCAAACAGGGCTAGCAGAGCACAGCGGCTATCAAAATCCAGGTGTTTCTCAATGGCCTCTTGCTGACTCAATGACAGAAGGATCTGGGTCCGGGTCCCTGGAACCCACATCCCAATCAGTAACTGCTCTCTGCCCTCCTTCTTCCGAGGCATTGCTCCTAGACTGTGTACAGTTCCTTCACCAGCACTCAGTGGGAATGACATATTTGTTGATTTGCTTCAAACGCCAAAGTTTACTATCTTATTCATACACACACATGCACACGCACACACACACAATCTGCAGTAGTCAAAACTCTAAACTTCTTTTGGACAGAAAGCCAATTAATATAAGGTTCTTGAAGATGCAGACTGTCCTTTCTGCACACATGCCCCCAACCCCATTCCCCCACCCACTTCTTACAAACTCTACAAGAAAGGCAATAGAATCATTTACGTACTGATGAGGTCAGAGGCTCCTGCCACAGTGTCCTGTGTGTCCCTGAGCTGACCCAGCCCCTCTCTGGCTCTCCCTTCCTCCCCAAGCTGCCCCTCACCAGCATCATGGGAGGACAGGGCTTGTATCATCCGGCCTGCGCTCCAGCGGACCTGGTAATCCGGACTACTCAGCATGTGCATGAGCAAGTCCAAGACCCTTGGGTCTTTGAAGACCCCGGTGAGGGGCTCGATGCTGGCATAGGCACTGAGCACATGGACAGTGTGAAGCAGAGGAGCAGGAGGCATGGTGCCCACACACTCCTCCAGCTGCCGGAGAGCCCTCTGAATCAAGGACTTCACATCTGTCTCCATCTCCCCCAGCACAGATTTGTCCAGGGCCCCGGCCTCTGCTGCAGATTCCTGAGAAGGCCCAATGACTTGGCCATCTTCACCGAGCATCTTGTGGCAGTTGGCATAGATCTCATCATCAGACATCCATAGCAGGATGTGCTCGGCCTTGCAGTCCACTTGACCTGAGTCCCCATCGTCTCCACGCCTGAGAATGAGCCAGCGGATCTGGTACTCAGGGTGTCCGTCGTGGCCCACCCGCTGTCGGACCAGCTCATCAGGATAGGCATGCAGGCCGGGCCCCAGGGGCACCCTGAATTCCCTGTAGCGCAGTTCCCCCACCATCCTGGTACCTGGGGCAACACAAGGATAAGAGAACAGGCAAGCTAGCATGAGAGGGAGGTCAGGAAATCAAGGACATACAGGAGTTGGGGAAGCAAATGTGGCAACAGCTGTTGCGCTGGGTGGGGAAAAGCTGGGCCCAGAAGTCGCACGATGTTACTACTACTACTACTAACAAGGCCAGGCAGAGGAACTTCATACTGTTTGTTCTCAGAACAAAATTCGGGGGCCAAAAGGTGGGTCTCCAAGGTCTGCAGCTTGGAATAGGTTGATCTGGAGAGCTAGGGCGCCAAGGCAGTTATGAGGTGACTCTCAATGCCTTGAGGCGGGCAGCAGCAGAAGCAGCAGCAGAGGTGCGGGTGGAGGCAGAGGCGATGTTTCAGGCTCGGGGAGAGAGGTCCGGAGTGTGCGGGAAAGGGTGCTATCTCTAAAAACGGAAGTACTGGGGATCCCGAGTGGCAGGACGAGCGTCCCAGAGCACTCATGGTGGCGTGGAAATGCGAGGCGCGACGGAGTGGGAGGAGGGGGTGGGGAGCCAGAGGCGCCCAGGACCCGAGCCACTGGAGCAGGGGGGCTAGGGGTGCCGCCGCAAGGCCGGGGAGAGGTGCACAGGAGCCCCCGAGGGTGAGGGCGCGAGGCTCGGTGGACCTGAGCAGCCCAGGGCCTGCGCCGCGGGGTGGGGGGCTAGGCCCAATAAAGGAGGACCCCCAGGCAGGCGGGGTGGGAAAGGGGATGCTAGGCCGGGGGCGCGGGGTAGGGGCAGGGAGCGGCGGCGGGGCCCGGGCCACCTCAGAAGTCCGCCGGGGTCCTGGCGCGAGGCCTGTCCTTCGCACAGCTAGGGCCGCGGCACAGACGATGGCGGCGCGGCGGGCGCGGGTTTGGGCCCCGCCTGGGCCCCCCGAAGGGGTCGAGGCCGAGGCGGGAGGGGGCGTGCCTCGGCGGGGCGCGCGGGCGGGCGGGGGGCGTGGCGCGGGCCCGCGGCCGCGTCCTCGGCGCCCCGGCGGCTGGGCGGGGCGGGGCCTGGCCGTGGCAGGGCGGGGCCCGGCCCCGGAGCCCGCCCCGCCCCGCGCTCACCCGGGAGCCGCAGCTCATTTCCGCCGCATCCAGCGGAAAGCAGGGGGCCCGGGAGAGCGCGGGGCGGGGCCGCGAGTGCCACCGCGGCGGGGCTGGCGCTGGAGCCGCCTCCGGCCGTGCGCGCCGCCCTTTCCTCTTCCTCCGGATCCTCCCTCGGGCCTCCCTCTCCACCCCCTCCCCGCTTCCGGTGCTCCCGAGGCCCCACCGGGAAAAGGTCGTGGAGGTCACGCTGCTCCCCCCCTCCCGCGCTCTCCGCTCTGCTCTCTCGGACCCGTTTATTTATTCGGTTGACCAAGTCTGTGCGCCCCATAAAATAAGAAAGAATAGCCGGGCGCCGGCGGCTCACGCCTGTCACCCCAGCTCCTCAGGAGGCTGAGGTCTGAGGACCGCGGTTCAAAGCCAGCCCGGGCAGGAAAGTCCGTGAGACTCATCTCCAAGGAACCTCCAGAAAACCGGAAGTGGCGCTGTGGCTCAGGTGGTAGAGCGCTGGCCTAGAGGACAGCGCCCAGGCCCAGAGTTCAAGCCCCGCGGCGGACAAAAAAATAAGAATAAAGCCAGTAGCAGATAAAATGGGGGAACACTTTATTAAAATGAGTCCATGGGTGTCAGCCCTGGGCAGCCGCAGAGGGCAGTTTCACGTAGCTCTTCATGGGGGGCAGTGGTCGAATCTTCCGACCAGCCCAGCCTCCCTTGCGGTGCCACAGCCCGCTGTTAGGCCTCTTGCCCAGCCAGCGGTTCCGACCCGCTTTGCCAATGACGCGTTTGTTATGATCCACGTTGGATACTCGGCCTACTGTTGCTATGCACGTATCGAGCACCTAAAGGAGAAAGGAGAAGAGGATGCACTGCGGGGAGGGGAGGGGGGCCGGGGAGACCCTCTACTGACAACCCTTGCTGGGAGCCTTATCTTCAATGGGCCAGAGGAGAGGGAGAGCAGGGTGTATTGAATCCAAGCCGTGGGATCCTAGGGTAGGAACTGGGTTGAAAAGAGGTATTTCTACTTATTCCATTAAGGTGTCTGCCTGACAAAGCATGCTCTGTCACGCGTGACAAAGGACAGGTGCAGCAGGAGGCCCTGTGAAGAGCTCCGTTCCAAAGATTCTCCCTTTGCGGCTCCACCCACCTATGACCTCATACTCACCTGCATCTGCCTCTTAGAGGGCAGCTGGATAATGGCTGTCCCGTTCACCTTCCGCAGCAGCACACCACAAGTCCCTGGGGAAGGGAAAAGCAGCTTTGCCACCCTCCACAGGGAGGCATACCCCTGTATCCTTGCTCTGCCCTTTAGGAGCAGATACAATAGAGAAGGCAGCATATACAATATTTTACATCAAAAACCCCAGCAAGCAACAATCATCCTTATGTTCCTTCCCCCCCCCCCTCTGCAATACTGAGGGGTTATTTTGTTGTTGTTGTTGTTTGTGCCAGTCCTGGGGCTTGAACTCAGGGCCTGGGTGCTGTCCCTAAGCTTTTGTGCTCAAGGCACTAGTGCTCTACCACCAGAGCCACAGCTCTACTTCCAGCTTTTTGGTAGTTAATTGGAGACAAAGAATCTCACAGATTTTCTTGTGTAGGTTGGCTTCAAACTATGATCTCAGCTTCCTGAATGGCTACTATTACAGGTTTCAGCCACAAGTGCCCAGCAATTCCAGGGTTTGAATTCAGGTTTTGCACTTGCTCAGATTGCTTGCTCTACCACTTGAGCTATGCATATCTGCAGCTTGGCTTTTTAAAGGTTATTTTGAAGCCGGGCACCGGTGGCTCATGCCTGTAATCCTAGCTACTTAGGATGCTGAGATCTGAGGATCGTGGTTCAAAGCCAGCCCGAGGAAGAAAGTCCCTGAGACTCTTTTTTTTTTTTAATTTAATTTTATTTTATTTGTGAACATACTGTACAGAGGGGTTACAATTACATGGGCAGGATCCCTGAGACTCTTATCTCCAACAAACCACTAGAAAACCAGAAGTTGCACTGTGGCTCAAGCGGTAGAGCGCTCGCCTTAAGTTGAAGAGCGCAAGGACAGAGCCCAAGCCCAGAGTTCAAGCCCCATGACCGATAAAAAAAAAAAAAAAGTTATTTTGGAGTCAAAGTCTCTAGAACTTTTCTGCCCAGACTGGCTTTGAACTTTGATCCTCCAATCTCAGCCTCCTGAGTGGCTAGGGTTATACATGTGAGCCACTGGTCTCTGGCTCATTTATTCTCTTCTACTCTACCAGTGGACTAGATGTAGACCCATAGGTCCAAGGAATTGCGACTTCAGTACTCCTTAGTGTTCCAAATTATGGGACCTGGGGAGACCCTTTCCCCATACCTGCAGCTCGGATGTACTGGGCTCCTCGGCCTGGCTCACTTTCCACATTGTTGATGAGGGTGCCGACGGGCAGAGCCCCAAGAGGATGTGCATCACCTTCTTGAGCAGCAACTAAAAGACAGAATTTTATCAGCACTAGAACCTTTGAAGTCCCAAGCCCATGCATCTGGTAGCTACCTCTTACCTGCCATTCGGCCTATGTGGTTAGAATTCAGGATTATATCTCCCACCTTCATGTTTTCTGTGGCAATGATCCAGCGTTTCCGGCCTCCCCCAGCAACCAGAGCTATGTCTGCTGACCTGTTCAGGATGGTGGACAAGGGAGCAAACCATCAAGGAAGTCCCATGTTTGGGAATTTACCCTCCAGTCATTCATACCACACTATCACCATCCCAGGTTCCAAACTTGCCTACAGGGATCATAGCGGACTACAATAACCTTCTCCTCAAAGGGTCCTGGCTTGGTCTCCTGTTCCGGCCGGAACCGCAGGAAATCAATCATGCGATAACGCTGCTTGTGGCCTCCACCAATACCATGCACTCGGATGCGGCCTGTAGTCAAGACAGTCAGAGACAAGATCCGGTCAGACCATTTCCATTCCCAGCACTAGGAAGAGACTTGTTCAGGGAATAGTGTTTCCCAATATTATGGCACAAAAAGAAAATGATATAGGGCTGGGGTGTATCTTAATGCTGAGGCCTGTGGTTTGATACCCAACATTGGGGAAGATGGGGAAGAATAAGAAAGTGAAAAAATTTTCATAGCATGATAGGGAAGGTGGTAAGGCAACACCTATATGGATCTTGATAAAAATAGAATTCTTCTAGCACTCAGGAGGTAGAGATAAGAGGATTATGAGTTCTGAGGCCAGCTTGGGTTACATAGTGAGACTCACAAAACAAAAATAAATACTGGGAACCAGTGGCTCACACCTGTAATTCTAGTTGCTCAGGAAGCTGAGATCTGAGAGTTGAGATGTGAAGCAAGCCTGGACAGAAAAAATCTACTTGACTCTATATGTAATTAGCCATCAAAAAAGCTGAACTGAAGGTGTAGGCCAAATGGTAGAGTGCCAGCTGTGAAGGAAAAAGTAGAGTGAGATTGTAAGGCCCTGGCACCAGCACACAAAAACAAATAAAAACACAAGGTCTCAGATATCGTTCAATGGTATAGTCTTTGTAGCAAGTGCTCTAAATCTGATCCTCAGAACCACAAGAAAAAATATCCTGTAAATTCTTTTCAAATTACAGAATTCAGTAAGTTTTAAAAGACTCTAAATTATACGTAAGTAATTTCAACTGTTGTAAATTTGGATAGGTATGAAGAAAAATGCAAGACATTTGCTATATATAGCCAGTTGTCTGTTAGTTTTTATTTCAGTCTAGTTTTAATGATGTTCTACATGTATAATGTAGGATGTATGTTTTCTAATTATATGCCTCTGCCACTTTTCAAAGTAACTTATTATACACATCTATGGTCCTAGCATGTTCTTTTTCTTTACTACTTAAGACCCCAGGCCCTTTCTCCCACCTGTGTGGTCTCGACCTCCAGACTTCCTCATCTTCACTGGTTTAGTAGTGTAAGTAGTACGACTCTTCCAGGACACAAACTTGGCACTAAGGCTCGCAGAAGTAAGCACCGGACGGCAAGGGAGCAACATAGAGGCAGGTGGCAGCTGAAGGAGGGCATTACTCATCACCTAAGGATAAAAAGAAATCTCTCAGGCTAGGTGCCAGGGACTCATACTTATAGTCCTAGCTACTCAGGAGGCTGAGATATGAGAATCTTGGTTCAAAGCCAGTCCCGGCAGGAAAATCAGTAAGACTTTTATTTCCAGTTAATCAGCAAAAAGCCCAAAGTAGAGGGGTAGCTCAAGTGGGGGAGTGCTAACCTTGAGTGAAAAAGTGAAAAGGGCCCTGAATTCAAGCACCAGTACCAATATAAAATAAAATAAAAAGCCCCAAACAAAAACTCTCTCACTTGAGAGCTAATTGAAAGAGAAGCATCAGAGAACCAAGTCGGAGGGCCCAGACCAACTTTAGCTTGTAATCTACTTTCTTTTTGGAAGTGTTCTAGACCAGCTGACCAAAATCTTCACCCTTCCTAGCCTGCCTAAATACCAGTACTGAATGTTTATCCAAATATGTGTGTTGATTGCCTCTCCTCATTCAATCTTCTCACCTCTGAGGCATGTTTACAATGTGTTCTCTTGGTCATCTCCCAAATTTGACTTAATCTCTCCTCCAGGAAGCATTTCCTTCCCTGAATAACTTCCACATATCCATACACTGCCACTAATACTTATGCCTTTTGCCCTCTTCATTATGGTTCCAGAAGTTTCCCACATTTGAATGGAGGGAAGTGATTTCTGTCTTGTTCTTTGTGTTTCCAGGATTTCATAGAATAGATTGGCCTGCCAAACTCTGCAATCATCAGCTTGAAAAATCTAAAGCAGCAAGATTGAGTTTTCGGTGACTCACAGTTGCCCACACTGGGCCTGAGGATATCTTCTCCTGAGATCTCTATCTTTGGCATCTGGTCCTGCCTGCAGTCTCTACTTTCAGCAGTAGCTCATGCTTGTAGGGGTCATAATGGTTAAGAAGCACGGGCTCTGGGGAAGACGCTGTAGCTCAGTCGTAGAAATAGTGCTTATCATGAGCCAGTACCTGAGTTCAATCCCCAGCATACACACGCACACACACATACACCCACAGGCTTTGAAGCCAGACTGACATTAGGTTGTTCGTGAGTTTTTCTCACCTGTGAAATAGGAATGACTACCTAACAGTGATTGAAAGGCGCTCATCTGAAAGGCCTATTCCTAATACCTTGCATTGCAATCGTAGACAACTTGTGGTCTGCATATGCATTTGCACACCAATATCTCGCCCTATGAGAGAGCAGCACCAGGAGGGATTGCCGGCATCCTCCACTCCCCACCCTGACCGCCCGCTCTACAGGTATCAGGCTCCTTTCTGGGTGAGGCGGATTACCTGGGCTGCAGGGAGCACACTAGGAACGGGGGCGGAAACAGCGGGGGGCGCCAGGCTCAGAGAGCCCAGGGCGCGGGTCAGGGCCCGCAGAGCCATGCGGTGGGCCGGCGGCTCGCGCTTCAGCGCGTCCTCTTTACCTTTACCCGGACTGCCTGGCGCTTCGAGAGGACGTCATCGTTCCGGTCAGCGTCGCGGTCCAAATTCCGTAAAGGGAGGCCGCTCCCGTCCCGCCCCCGGAACGTAGCCACAGCCAATCGTCGGGCGATGTATATACCACGTGACCGGAGAGCCGGCCCCGCCCCTCGGAGCCGTCAAAACAATTGCCTCGAGCGGCAGCCATGATGCTCTTAAAGGGGCAGTACCGGCAAAGACGACAGCCAGATCGACAGACTGCAGGTGAGTCATTGAGGGCGACCCCGGGACTGAGGTCCAAGGTCTCAGGCACCTCTTATCCTGCACTTTTTGGACAGATAAACAAATCCTTCCGCTAAAGCTCACAAAAACTCCAGTCTCGAAAACTCCGCCCCTCGCCATTCATCCCCGCCCCTCAACGTTCAGACAGACGGACGGACGGACGGCCTGCCCCGCCCCCGGCGCAATGGCTGGGCTCCGTGACCTCGGGCTGTCCGCTGTGGGGGCCTCGCGGGCCTCGGTCGTTCACCCCCGCTTCCCTCCCCTGGGCCCCAGACTACCTCACTTTGTCTCCATCCTGGGCCCCAGGGCAGGTTAGCAACTCGGGCGTTCCTGTGCGGCAGCTCCAGATGCCGGAGACCATTTCGGGCTCCACCTTTGCCCGTGACCCGGCAGAAGCTCTGCAGACTTCCCAGTCTTCCTGACCGTCAGGCCCTTGGGAAGCACCGTAAGGTGATTCTTCTCAGGCCTGTTAGTAGGTGGTGGTGACCAAGCCATGACTGTTTACTGGGCTGGGAGTGACCAGGTCTTCCTCCTCACCCTTTCCCGAACACGCCCCCTGCCTCAGGTCTCCGATTAAATCTGTCTCTCACCCTCTTCTGGGGAGAAAGTAGCTCCCCGGGACCTTGAGTGGGAAGTTGGGTTAAGGAAGAAGGTGGGGTGTTGGTCGTCGCTGAAGATCTTTAGGCACTGGGAGGGTGTTTGTCGGGGCAGGGCTCTGTGCCAGGTCCTCTCGGTGGTTGTGAAGTGGTGGAGAAGGGTGGGACCGCTGGACTTCTGGACTTTGTCCGGGCTGATCTTTCTGAATTCCTCGCTCCTAGTGCTCCTTCCTGGCTTGGGCCTGACAACTTAGCCAAGTGCTCTGCTCTATATATACTGGTAAGGGGACTTCAAAGAGGAGAAACCAGGCAGGCGCCTTTGAGGAAGGAGGAAGACAACCTGAGTTGTCGGGCGTGGGAAGCATGGGCTTGAGGGGTAGTGGGAAAGGAACAGAGGAGACCATCTTTGAGCTTAGTTTGACAGGTGATAAGACTGAAGACCTCAAACCTTTTGGAACCCTTACATCTGATTCCTGTGATGAAGACTGTTTTCTTTCTTTTTTTTTTTTTTTACCCCCATCTAGCTATTCCTTTCTTTCTTTGCTTGAAATTTCTGCACAATTCCTGAAATTCCTGTCTGCTTGTTCCCTTTTGAAGCTTTCCCCATATCCTCTTTGATCTTTATAGTGCTGTCTCTAGCCCTCCCTTCCTTTTTCTAGAACAAGCTCTCTTTGTAATTCCTGGGTTTTTGTTTGTTTGCTTTTGCTTTTTGTGCTAGTACTAGGGCTTGAACTCAGGGCTAGGTGCTGTCCTTTAGCTCTTTTGCCGAGGCTGGCACTCTACCACTTGAGTCACAGCTCAACATGTAGATTTTTGGTGGTAAATTAGAAATAAGAGTGTAATGGACTTTCCTTCCTGGGCTAGCTTTGAACCATGATCCTCAAATCTCAGCCTCTTGACTAGCTAGGATTACAGGCTAGAGCCACTACACTTGGCTGTTTAGTTCCCCCCCCCACCCCCACCTCTGTTTATTTGCAGTACTGAGGATTGAAATCAAGGCCTTGAGCTTGCTAGGCAGGCATTCTATCACTTGCCACTTGAGCTACACTTCAAGTTCTTTGTTTGTTCTTATGTCCTACGTTCTTCTGCTAGCTCCAAGCAACTTTGTTTGTTTACAGAATTCTTTCATTCAAGTCAATTCCTCTCCCTCACCTGACCTTTTGTGTTCTGTGGTCCAGGCTTTTTCTATACTTGGTCATACCCTCTCTCCAACTCAACCACAGGGTCCCCCATATTCCTGTTCCTTCCCTTGGATTTCCTCCATCCTCTAATTGAGGTGCTCAGCTTCTCTCTCATCTTCACCCCATCTGACTACTGTTGTTTCTCCCCAGCCCAGAAGTCCCCCTGGCCAGGATGTCTGGCCTGGTGTTGGGGCAGCGGGATGAGCCTACAGGACACCGGCTCAGCCAAGAGGAGATCCTGGGGAGCACTCGGCTGGTGAGCCAAGGGCTGGAGGCCCTCCACAGCGAGCACCAGGCTGTGCTGCAAAGCCTGTCCCACACCATTGAGTGTCTGCAGCAGGGAGGCCATGAGGAAGGGCTGGTGCATGAGAAGGCTCGGCAGCTGCGCAGGTCTATGGAAAACATCGAACTGGGGCTGAGTGAGGCGCAGGTGAGAGAGCAGGACTGGTGCCAAGTAGTCCAGTGTGCAGAGAGGAGAGTTGGTCTTACTGGAATTTTGAGGTCATTGGGATAATTTGTCTGGGATACTGTCATTCATTCATTCATTCATGTATATATGCCAAAACGCTTCAGAGGCCCTAGAGATACATCACTGAACACAACAATAAAAATCTTTGCAATCTTGGAACTGACATTCTAGCTAGGAGAGACAGACAGCATGCAAATAAGTAAATGGTTCAGTATACCAGTGATAATTGTTAAGGATAAAAAGAAATGTAGCCAGGTGCCAGTGGCTCACACCTGTAATCCTAGCTACTCAGGAGGCTGAGATCTGAGGATTGGGGTTCAAAGCCAGCATGGGTGGGAAAGTCCATGAGACTCTTATCTCCAGTTAACCACCAGAAAACCACAGGTTGTGCTGTGGCTCAAATGGTAGAGTGCTCACCTTGAGCTGAAGAGCTCAAAGACAGCATCCAGGCCCAGAGTTGAAGTGCCAGGACTGACCAAAAAAAAAAAATATATAAATCAGGGAAGGGGACTAGGAAGAAGAGTGTACAAAACTAGATAGGGTAGCCAAAAAAGGTCTCCCCAAAAGGATAACATTTGAGCAAAGAGTTGAGGGAAAGGGAATACAGGAGATGAAGGTCCTAAGCAGAGAGTAAAGAAAGAACAGGGCCCTGAATTGGGGCCTGCCTAGTGAGTTCAGTGAACAGCATGGGCCATTATGGCTGCACTAGAATGGGTAAAGGGAAACAGTAAAAAATGAATCCAAGAAGCTGGGCACCAGTGGCTCACGCCTGTAATCCTTGCTACTTAGGAGGCTGAAATTTGAGGATCCCAGGTCAAAGCCAGCCCAGGCAATGAGGTGATCTTTTGAAGGTATACTCATTGCTGCTACTCCTACCTGCTGGCTTCTCTGTCTGAACCCTCTCACTTAGAGGACTGAGTCTCACAGTGTAATCTTCCTACCTAGGTGATGCTGGCCCTGGCCAGCCACCTGAGCACAGTGGAGTCAGAGAAGCAGAAGCTGCGGGCTCAGGTGCGACGGCTCTGCCAGGAGAACCAGTGGCTCAGGGATGAGCTAGCGGGCACTCAGCAGAGGCTCCAGCGCAGTGAGCAGGCCGTGGCTCAGCTCGAGGAGGAAAAGAAGCACCTGGAATTCCTGGGGCAGTTACGGCAGTATGATGAGGAGGGACACACTGCGGTGAGCATCCCGAGGTGGACTGGGGGAGGGACAGGCAGCCAGGACCATGATACTGGCCATTGCCCAGTATCTTCCAAGGCCAGCAGGAATCCCCAACCTGTCTTCATCTGGCAGAATTCCTTTTTGGAGTCCTGGCAACAGTGCCAGGTGACAATGATGGGGAGGAGGGGCAAATAATGAGTCATCCAATCAGTTAAATGTTTTTGTTCCAGACACTTGTGTATGCTCCTGGTGAATGGGGCAGATTGTTATATGTTTGAGAGGAGAGAGACAAGGGATTGGACCATTCTGATCCCAACCCTAAGTGCTACAGTTAGGGAAAGCAAGACCCACGTATTACATGAAATTTAACCCTTAGTGAACAGCCATATGTGTGTCTCTGTGCCTAATATAGTGCAGGAAAGTGTGCAGAGGAGATAGCAAGAGCAGTGGAAGAGTTCTTGCCTTCTCAAGTTTACAAAGCATCTTTAGGGAGCTGGGCTTACACAGGGGCACAAGTAGCAAGTACTCATTCTGGATGAGTGGTTCAGTCAGCAGGAGAGGAATGCCAAGGTGATAAGGTCCCCCGGAGCTGAGAAGGATTCACAGGGTCGAACAGTATTTTTTTTTTTTTTTGTGCCAGACCTGGGGCTAGAACTCAGATTCTGGGCTTTGGTGCTCAAGGCTAGCATTCTACTGTTTGAGTCACAGCTTTACTTCTGGCTTTTTGCTGGTTAATTGGATAGCTTCTCTGACTTTTCTGCGCAGGCTGGCTTCAAACAGGGATCCTCAGGCCTCAGCCACCTGAGTAGCCAGGCTTACAGGTGTGAGTCACTGGCACCCAGCTTGGATAGTATTTTTTGTTGGGCTGCTCATATGAGTAGATTAGAAGTTGGGATTGTTTTAAAGGATGATCAGAGGGAGAGGAACTTTCTAGATTAGGGAAAGGTTATCACAGATGAGGCTCCAGGGCTAGAGAGATGATCTGTCTTAGGGAATGTGATCATTTGCATAGGGCACACTGGGGATGCTTGTAGAAAGGGTTTTGTATTAGGCTATAGTTCCTAATAGGTAAAGCACATTTTTCCAGGGTGAAAATGGGTTAGACAGCAAGGGTTGGGCACTAAGACTAGAATAAGCAGTGGCAGATGATGGGCCCAAGGTTGGGCTAGACACTTTAGTTATGTGTCAGTGAGATCAGACACACTCCCTCCCATCTGGAGAGACAGAACAGACATGTAATCAATGTAAACACATAGGGACGAACATGGGGCTATAATTATGAGTTCAGCGGGAGAGGGGGAGACTGGAGAATGAATGTGGTTAGGAAGGTAAATTTCTAGATGCAAAATAAGGGG